GATTTCTCTTTTTCTGATTCTGGTGAAGGCGATTTTTGTTTATCTGATTCAGCTGCAGGAGATTTCTCTTTTTCAGATATCGGTGAAGGCGATTTCTGTTTTTCCTCTGCTAATGCAGGTGATTTTTCTTTCTCTGATTCTGGTGAAGGCGATTTTTGTTTTTCTGCTTCTGCTGCTGGAGATTTTTCTTTCTCTAATACTGGAGAAGGCGATTTCTGTTTTTCTGTCTCTAGAGCAGGAGATTTTTCCTTTTCTGGTAATGGGGAAGGAGATTTCTGTTTTTCTTCTGCTAATGCTGGCGACTTTTCCTTCTCTGATATTAGAGAAGGTGATTTTTCTTTATCTGATTCAGCTGCAGGAGATTTCTCTTTTTCAGACATGGGTGAAGGCGATTTCTGTTTTTCTTCTGCTAATGCAGGTGATTTTTCCTTCTCTGATACTGGAGAAGGCGATTTCTGTTTTTCTTCTGGTAATGCTGGTGATTTTTCTTTTTCTGGTAATGGAGAAGGAGATTTCTGTTTTTCTTCTGCTAACGCTGGTGACTTTTCCTTTTCTGATATTGGAGAAGGTGATTTTTGTTTCTCTACTTCAGTTGCTGGAGATTTTTCCTTCTCTGATAATGGAGAAGGTGATTTCTGTTTTTCTTCTGCCAATGCTGGTGATTTTTCTTTTTCTGGTAATGGAGAAGGAGATTTCTGTTTTTCTTCTGCTAACGCTGGTGACTTTTTTTTTTCTGATATTGGAGAAGGTGATTTCTGTTTCTCTTCTTTAGTTGCTGGAGATTTTTCCTTCTCTGATAATGGAGAAGGCGATTTTTGTTTTTCTTCTGGTAATGTTGGAGATTTCTCTTTTTCAGATACTGGTGAAGGCGATTTTTGTTTCTCTACTTCAGTTGCTGGAGATTTTTCCTTCTCTAATATTGGTGAAGGCGATTTTTGTTTTTCCGTCTCTAGAGCAGGAGATTTTTCTTTCTCTGATACTGGTGAAGGCGATTTTTGTTTTTCTTCTGGTAATGCTGGAGATTTCTCTTTTTCAGATACTGGTGAAGGCGATTTATGTTTTTCTGTTTCTGTTGGTGCAGATTTCTCCTTTTCTAATACTGGTGAAGGCTCTTTCTGTTTCTTTGCTTCTTCTACTGGAGATTTTTCTTTCTCTGATACTGGAGAAGGTGATTTTCGTTTTTCTGATTCAGCAGAAGGTGATTTTTCTTTCTCCAATACTGGTGAAGGTGATTTCTTTATTTCTTCTGCTAATGCTGGTGATTGTTCTTTTTCAGAAACTGGTGAAGGCGATTTCTGTTTTTCTGCTTCTGCCAGTGGAGATTTTTCTTTCTCTAATACTGGAGAAGGCGATTTCTGCTTTTCTGTCTCTAGAGCAGGAGATTTTTCCTTTTCTGATACTGGAGAAGGTGATTTCTGTTTTTCTTCTGGTAATGCTGGTGATTTCTCTTTTTCAGATACTGGTGAAGGCGATTTCAGTTTTTCTTCTGGTAATGCTGGTGACTTTTCCTTCTCAGATATTGGGGAAGGTGATTTCTTTTTATCGGATTCAACTTCAGGTGATTTTTCTTTCTCTAATACTGGAGATGGCGATTTTTGTTTTTCTGTCTCTAGAGCAGGAGATTTTTCCTTCTCTGATACTGGAGAAGGTGATTTCTGTTTTTCTTCTGGTAATGCTGGTGATTTCTCTTTTTCAGATACTGGTGATTTCTCTTTTTCAGATACTGGTGAAGGCGATTTCTGTTTATCTGTCTCTAGAGCTGGAGATCTTTCCTTCTCTGATACTGGAGAAGGCGATTTCTGTTTATCTGTCTCTAGAGCTGGAGATTTTTCCTTCTCTAATACTGGAGAAGGCGATTTCTGTTTTTCTTCTGCTAATGCTGG